TATAATGTAAAAATAGAATAAGGGAAATTAAAAAATTTCTCACAATAAAAAAAATATTTCTTTATTAATTGATTAAGTTCATTTTGATTGGTCAATTACCGGTGTGATACCTTGAACTAATTTTTCATTGCATGATAAAGTGAAACTAGAGTATTCCTGGGAATGCACGTGTCGCCTTTATACATGTAGCAGCATTAAAGACAAACAAATCTAAAAGGTGGAATTTTTTAAAGCTCATATTAACTCTAGTTCAAGGAAAGGGAAAAACACGGCTGTGTTAGATAATATAAAAGTTACTATCAATAGAAATTAAAGTTAGAATGAATAATAAAATTGAATTTATCAAAAACAGTTATTTCTTCATTGATTCATATGAGTTTATTTTGAAAATCTCCCAGATGCACGAAATTTACAGACAAACTACGGAGCAAACTGGAATATCACACGGCTTTTTTCGTCAAGTCATGAACATCAATCGGCTTTTTCCATCAAAGTCGATAAAAACGAAGTTGAATCTCGGTTGACGGAAAAGGCCGTATGATGTTCCGATTGTTCACAGAATGCATTTAAATTTCAGTTTGTGTGGTTAATGTAATTAATACACTTTGAAAGTGTCATGAGGTTATAAGCATATACATTCATGAATGCTAGTTATCAAAGCTCCACCTCTTAAAATTCATGGCATGACAGTTCGGAGAATTCTTGAAAAATAAATCATTGGTCAAATAGACTGTAAAGCTGATACGTGCAATTTTTATGAGAAGCCGAATAACACAGCTTACCTCTCAAAGGTCAAATAATATGCTAAAATGGCAGTATTGTGCATTTTAATATGTACATGTAGGTCAAAGGTTAAGTTCAAATCTAACAAGGCCGGAAACCCTAGTATTTTAGAAAAAGCCGTTTTTGTAAGCTATATATACATGTACACGAGCAAACTATCAAATCCCTACCTCTATCAGTTCTAAAGATACATGTACATTTATAAGGTATGACAGACAGACGGATGGACAGACAGACGTCGGGCAGAATTGTCCCTACGTGTTTTGTTTTGCAGACGACCCCCCACCGATGTGATTCCTGACATCCACCGAATTTACAAATGTAGCACTTTGGGGATAATGTCTAGTCTTCAGTAATAGACCTTTTATCATCCTGGTATCAATTACATGTATATAGGATGTACCTGTAATCTATGTACAATTTTTAGCTCACTAAATTATAGAAGAAAGAGAAGAAAAGAAATTATTCATATTTTATTCAACAAGACAACATTTACAATTACATTTCAAAGATTTCAATGTTTTTATTTTCTAAATCTTTAAATTTTAATCAGAAAACAAAACTCGTACACGTAACACATGATAAAGTTTGACAAAATCATTTTAATTTATACATTCGAGTTTTACCTCTCGAGGAAGTCATGTCCTTACAAAGATTAATGCTAAATAGAATATACAGTAAAAGCCGTAATCAGATATACAAGAAGTAGGCTTAGGGAATGCGTTCTAATTAACCATTACCGATGTGTTTACCAATAGACGCAAAAGGCCAATCACCTTTACATTTCCTCTGGGAATTCCCCAACTGGCTCATGGGAAACCCTTCAATAAAGTTACAGAAGCTTCGCCAAACCTCATGATACTTTTCACATCATTACTTTGCTTACTGAGTTCAGAACGTGTCTCGAAGCATATTCAGTCAAAGACTCGTGAAAAAAGAAATAAACTTATTTAAGGAATTTATGTAAAACACAGTCGAAAACAGTTTTTATGGCTGTCACTGTCTCAGCCGGTACCAGTGTTGCAGTAAGAGTCAAAATCGAGATCCGGATTTTCCATTCCCCTTTTCATCTGGAAACACACATAGAAATAAACTTTTTTCCAAGCTTCGTTCACTTCTTTCGTGTAGTTTTCTTGTAAACAGTGTTTAAGTCCGTGGTTTAAGGACGGCCACAACCTCTACAAAAATCAGGATATAAGATTTGTTTAAACTTTTAGCATTGAAATTTATCGTGATAACTTTCACTTTTAGCTAATTACACAGAACTTTATACAAAAAATACATAGAATAGTACAAAAGTAAAATTCACAAAATAATAATGATAAGTATAATGGTAAACAGTTGAAATTATTACTTTACATGAAATACAATTTAAATCACTCAACAAAGACCCCCCCCCCCTCCCCCCGCCCTCAAACTGCCTCAAAGACTTGCCATGGAGTATTTTCGATTTTCCAGAAAATTATAAGAACGACTTACTCTTAACATTTGAGGTTTCACGTGTCTTTTCACGTGTGTTTGACCAATAGAAATGAGGACACTATTAAGGAAATCGGACTCCTCCAAACTCTCTACTGCCGCTCCTAGTCCCTCTAAAACCGTGACAGCATGGCGCTGTAACATCTCTCTATCGATGTCGTATTCCAGTTTATTTTCGTTGTTCATTTGAACGATTTTTGGGAACAATGATTTCAAATCTGGTTCAGTTTCAAAAAACCTGAAAAAGTATATATAGCAATTATATATTTTTAACCTTCTTTGAGAGTCGAGAATAATATAATTTTGTAAGTCATGACGTAGGAAATGGACGGTCAGATTACAAATTACGTACGATGTTCAGGAGAAATTTACAAAGACTTTGAAATATTCAAAAAGAGCACATGGTCCACACAATGTATATTTTTTCCTCGAACACTAGCTGTTGCCTTAACTGATTTTGTGTACCTACAAATCACTCTTCTTTTTTTATATTTAATTCTATCAAATTTAATACATATATATTGGTAGACACTGTAAGAAAATAAGTCTTGAGAATTATTATTCAATGGCTTCAGATTATGTTTCATTTGTGTTATTGAAGAGATGAATAAAGTATCTCAGGTTTTAAACAATACGTTTATTCTTAATACACCTCTTCTGATTTTTTACTGTATAAAAGTAAATCATTAATATTTGTTGAATCCCTAAACTCATTGTCCCTTCCAGAAGCAGGTCTTATATTGACAATGTGGGAATACATTGCGGCTTTTCAATCTATACAAAGTTGGATGAAACTCTGCCGGCATTGAAAACGCTGTTGTTGAAAAAATACCAGAACACGCAAGTCTTTTCTTTTTAAAAAAATACTGCATTTAGCTGTAAGCAAAACTTACATACATGTAACTGAACGACACAAAACAAGATAATGTAGTGAAAGAATTAGGAGAACAAACGATGCGTATTGTAATCTACATGAGTTACTTCGCAGCATGAAAGTTGAGAGTTTAATTGAAAATACAGCATCGTGTTCTGCTTCAGGTTCAAACCCTCTTGTGTCATCAATATGGAAAAAAGTGTGAGATTAGTGTTAAATGATAGACCTTGATAGATCTTCAGCTGCCACTATTATAGAAACCACCCAGCACATTTGTGCACGTTTCTCTTTTGCAATCCTCTTTATCTTTCCATGCACTTCCACTATTACCTACAAGCAAATTTTGGTGGGAATCAAATGCTTAAGAGGTTCATTTATTTAACCTGACTGATGTTGATTATTTATTCAATATAAATCTTTTTAGTTCATGAGTGACTGCGAGTTAGTTGATATTGTTTTATTTAAAAACCAGTTATTGACTTTTATGAGGCCAATAACATATGGTGATTTCCAAGAACAATTTTGAACTCGACCCTGGGGCTCTGTGAATATTGTCTTTCTCTGTTAGCTTAATTATTGAAATGGTCTCATAAAAGTCAAGAATTATATGTCTATTATTATTTTTTTTTACAAATGAATTTTTCTGCCAATATAAGAAGAGTGGGGATGATCAACCAAAAATCAATTGTTTTCAGAATAACTTAATCACCTTCCAACATAATTCAATATATGCAAATCGATTTCGTAGCATTTTGAAATTCCCGATAGGGGGAACTATATAGTGTTTAACGAAGATATAGGATAAGACGCACTTTTCATTACTGCCATTAACTTTCCGAACTAAAAAAATAATCCCTCTCTTTAAAAGTTTTTTTCAAAAGCATCTATTACGTATGGGTTTTTTTCTTCGTCGTCATTTTTTAATCTACAGCAACATAAGATTTCAATTTCCATGATGGGATTCCTGCAATACCAGGTAATATGGAAGACCAATATGGAACGGGTAATAGTGCTAATTATCATCGTATAACACTGAAATCTAGAATGTGCAAAAGCACAACAGCGAATTGAATATACTCATCAAGGATTTATGAAAATAAAAGAAGATAACATACTAATTACATCCTAAAAATATACATGCATTTTCTGTATATCAAAAATGAATAATATGCATGGAATAAATGATTTCGGCATATTTTCTTTGCTAGATAACTAAAATAATTCTGAATTTAAATAAATTGATTTATTTATTTTATAAACATGGTTTTTACAGCACCTGTTCATCATTTTTGGGGCGTATCGTTTTTGTATTTATAGTAAACATAATATTTAATAATTGGAAAAACTCAGCAAATAAAGGTTCATTTCCTGTTAACTTTTCAGATTCCGGTCGCAGCAAGTGTTAAAACTCGTGAGTTAGTGGTTGTTGATTTCAAAGTATTGTTTCTTTCAGATCCTACTGAAATGATACATGTTGTTTCAAGAGGTATGTCTTCGATTTCCCTTTGAAATAATTTCAGCACAATATGGTTCCCATATAAAACATTCTTTTATCTCTCAACTGTGAACAATTAAAGAACAATTGTTGCTTAAGTTCGAGGTATATTGTTTAATTACACATTATTTAAAGTCAGAACATGACGCAATTACCTAATTTATCAGAACTTGAGAACGTGCCGAACCTATACAATACAATAATTAAGCAGTTAAGTTCAACTGTGAAAAGTAAGTTACGCGGAAAATATTAAAATGTGTTCTGGGTACTTACATTTTCAGAAAAGATGATTCAATAATTGGCGATTTGGTGGCATGTGTGGTCTTTCTAAGTAGTAAAATACGTAAAAAAAATAAGTATCCCACACATTGGAACGCTAGTGCAATATTAAAAGCATGGACGTAGTTAAAGTTTATTTCATGTGTACTTAAATTTTGGCAGAATTAGGATGGATTCCCTCCTTTTTAAGGAGGATCAAGAAATAAACACCTGGTGTTGTCACGTGTATACATTCAGACATGCATCTTTGATATCATAATCATTATACTAATTTTCTCAGAATTTCAATACATGTACGTGATATTTCTGTCCACATTAATACCCACATACTAATAATCAACTATCAGTAGACAAGTCCCATGTGCGTGATAGATGCCGCATCCATTTCTTTTAGCAACATTGACGTATTGTCTGGATTATATTTATTATATATGTATATGGCCATGTATATCATGTCAATGATAAGTCCTACTTTTTTGTTCGTCCGTTTGTCTGGAAGTCACACTGCGTTTAGATCAGTATGAAAGAAACTGTTAAAGTTATTTTTATCAGACTCCATACAAAAATAGCTCATACTGGTGAGCGCAATTAATTGTGTCATCCTTTTTTTACCTTTACCTTTGCAATGAATTTGACTTTTGCGCTTCGCTCAATTTCAAAGGAACTGTAAATAGCATTTCACAAATTTTATGTAAAGGTGCATTCTGATGTCAGATATTCAGAAGTTTTTGATCCACCCCATGACCTTGACCTTCCATTTCCTCATTCAGCATTTAGCTCACTTTCAAAGAAACTACTCAGGATATTTTCAACGAACTTCATACAATGATGCACAATGTACTGATGAAAGTAACTCAAATGCGTCATAATTTCTGACCTTGATCTTCCACTTGACCTTGAAGTTTTACTTCTCAAGATATTATAGGCAAGCTCCATCCAAAGTCACAGAAATTTAACTGTCTCATAATTTTCTGACATTAACCTTCCCCTATGACCTAGCTGAGACCCTTTGAACTTCACTTTTCACGATATTTCATCAAACTTCGAACAAAGATACATACACTGTATCGGTTTGAGCAATTAAGTTTGTCATCATAATTTCCTGATCTTGACCTTCCCTATGACCTTGACCTCACTTTTCCTTATTTTGAGTTTACCTTTGTTTTAAAGAATTCATTAGAAAACTTTTCATTAAACTTCATTCACTGATACAAATTGGTAAAAGAAAATCAACTGTGTCACAATATTCTTCCATTTGATTTTTTTCTTCTCATTTTGCATTTAGTTTATCTTATTTGTATTCTATAAAAGACTACTTGAGGAGGTTGGATCCTGTTATCAAAAGTATAGAGAATTTTTTTTATCAAGTATATTTTTGGAATCTATACACATAGCTTAATTAAAAATCAAAACCAAAAATGGGGGTCAATGCGCTTCTTTCGGCGCTACGGAGCATTTAATATGACCTTTTTGCACTGTAATTATGTCTAACACATAAATCAATTTTTCAAAGTTTTTCCTCTAATATTTTTTATCCAAATAAATTATGGGAACAAATACAGTCTTTTTTCGTCTTGAATAGTCTCTTTAAAATTTGTGACAACAAAAAAAGTTTCAAATTACTTCGCATTGTCAATTATTTGACCTTTTTGCACTCAAAAAATGTCATTTTTCTGGCATTAAAAATTTAACAAGCAATAAAATCATATGAAAGTAATGACATTTTTCTGAGTTTAAGCAGAATGGTTAAAATTATCTTGTTTATTCAGAAAATAAAATTAAAAGTGGGGGTCTGTGATGTTAATTTTTAGATAAAACTAAAATAGTGCTATTTTTTAGCCTAAAATGGGCTACTTTTTTCCCAAGACTTTCACAATATATTTGTTATATTTGTCCAATATGATGACAGAATTCATGACGGTTAATTTAATATATTATTTAGGACCAGCATAAAACATTTCACAGCTCAAAATGAAAGAAAAAGTGAGCAAGCTCACATACCCCACGCTTCCCCAAAACTCGACAATGCAACACGTAATGAATGGCACAGTGCATTTTAAATACACAGTATAATTCAAAAAAGGGGCATTACTTGCAAAAAATCATCACATCAAAACTTCTTGCATATAAGGACATTCAAATCTTTGTACATGTATGTTACAAATTTAACTGGGCTGAAGTTTCTAGATAAATAATGGAATCAAAATTTCTTGGTAATATACAAATCTATATATTATTCTGAAATACCTACAAAGTTTCAGGAAATTCAGTGCCGGAATCATGCTGACAAACTGTTATTTAAATTCCTCAGTGATTTCGATTTGTTAATGAGTGTAAGTCCATGTCCAACACATGACAGTTTACACATTTAAATAATTGATGGAAACAAAATTATGATGTAGTCATATGAATCTGTTTATATACTGTACTTATGAAATTATTTAAGGCAAAGCACACCAATTTGAAGGGGGGGGGGGGAGAACTATCGAAGATGGTGTGTGTGTGAGTGTGTGTTTGTGTTAAACCATTAATATTTTGACCTCAAAATCAATAGGGGTCTTTTAAGGTCATAAAATATTTCACATAGAAT